GCCGCCGCGCTCGCCTCCTGCTACGCCCGGGAGAACGTGTCCAAGGGTGACTATGGGCGCGGGGGCGGCGCGGCCCGGCCCGGTTCGGCCCGGTCCGGTTCGGCCCGGTGCGGAGCGGAGCGGTGGGCGGCCCAGCGGGCTCCCAGCGGCGCTGCGGGCCCGCGCCGGGGCTCGGGGACAGCGGCCGCCCGCCCGAGCGGAGGGACCTGCTCCTCCAGCCTCCCTCCCGCTGTGCCGGCCTCCACGTGGGAGGCTCCGGAGGCTCCTTCCGTGCCGGCCTCCATCCCGGCTGTTCCGGCGCCTCCCTCTGTGCCGGCCTCGAGCCTGGCTGCTCCATGGCCTCCAGAGCCTCCCCTCTATGCTGGCCTCCAGCCTGGCTGTTCCAGAGCCTCCCTCTGTGCCAGCCTCCAGCCCGGCTGTTCCAGAGCCTCCCTCCATGCCGGCCTCCAGCCCGGCTGTTCCAGAGCCTCCCTCCATGCCGGCCTCCAGCCTGGCTGCTCCATGGCCTCCAAAGTGTCCCTGTGTGACAGCCTCCATGTGGGAGGCTCCGGAGCCTCCTTCCATGCCAGCCTCCAGCCCGGCTGTTGCGGAGCCTCCCTTCGTGACAGCCTCCAGCCTGGCTGCTCCATGGCCTCCAGAGCCTCCTGTCTGTGCGGGCCTCCAGCCCAGCTGTTTCAGAGCCTCCCTCCATGCTGGCCTCCAGCCTGGCTGTTCCATGGCCTCCAAAGCCTCCCTGTGTGACAGCCTTCACACAGGAGGCTCTGGAGCCTCCTTCCATGCTGGTCTCCATCCCGGCTGTTGCGGAGCCTCCCTCTGTGCCAGCCTCCAGCCTGGCTGCTCCATGGCCTCCAGAGCCTCCCCTCTGTGCCGGCCTTCGGGCCAGCTGCTCCATGGCCTCCAAAGCCTCCCTGTCTGACGGCCTCCACGTGGGCTGCTCCCTGGTCTCCAGAGCTTCCATCACTGCCGGCCTCCAGGCCAGCTGCTCTGTGGCCTCCACAGCCTCCCTGCGTGACAGCCTCCAGGCTGGCTGCTCCGGAGCCTCCTTCCATGCTGGCCTCCAGGCTGGCTGCTCCGTGGCCTCCACAGCCTCCTTCCATGCCGGCCTTTAGGCTGGCTGCTCCGGAGCCTCCTTCCATGCCGGCCTCCAGCCTGGCTACTCCATGGCCTCCCGGCTTCCGGAGCCTCCCTCTGTGTTGGCCTCCAGACTGTCCATGACGGCCTCCCGGCCGGCCGCTCTGTGGCCTCCAGGGCCTCCCGCTGTGCCAGTCTCTGGGCTGGCTGCTCTGTAGCCTCCCGGTCTCCAGAGCCTCCCTCTGTGCTGCCCTATGGACTGGCTGCTCCATGGCCTTTGGAGCCTCCATGGCCTCTGGAGCCTCCCTCCATGCCGCCCTATGGACTGGCTCCTCCACGGCCTCCAGAGCCTCCCTCTGTGTCAGCCTCCAAGCAGGTTCCACAGCTGCTTCCTGGCCTCCAGGCCGGCTCCAGGGCTGCTCCATGGCCTCCCAACCCTTGGAGGCGCCATCCTGGAGGCTTTCGAAGCCCCTGGATGCTCCGGGGTTCTCCCACGGCACCCAGCGCCTGGCTCCGGCACCATCCATCCTTGTTAGACCAGCCTCCATCCGTGCTGGCCTCCATCCGTGCTGGAAACCTCCCGTTCTGAGCCAACCTTCCCGAGCCCAACGGGATCCCGGCCTCCCTTTCCGGATGCTCATCCCGGCCCYCTTCCCGGGAACGATGCCGCTGCCTTCCCGTTCCCGGCCAGGAGGTGTCAGGGGCAGCCTTTGCATATCCGCGTGGGACCAGCTTAGCCGGATCGGGGGTCCCCCCCAGGGCGGCAATGGGAAACTTTTTAGCCTTAAAATAAGCAAATTTGGGAAAAATGCCCCCCGGAGGCGGCTTGGGAGGAGCGCGGTGCCCGCCGGGGTGGACAGGCGCCCCTGACATGTCCCTCTCCATGTCCCTTTGCAGAGGAGGCGCTGCTGGAAGCCGCCAGGATCAACAACGTCTCCGAAGCCAAAAGGTGAGCGAGGCCGGCGCGGGGCGCAAGGCGGCGTTTTTCCCCCCGGATTCTCCCGGTTTTCCCGCCCCGGGCGAGGAATACTGCCTCCCTGGCAAACACTTGTGCGGGTCGGGGGCGTTTCGCTAAATCTCGTGCCAAGGGCAGCGTTTGGGGAACGTCTTGTCCTCCAAAAGCAGCTTCTGGGGSGGAATAACGGGTGACATCCAAACACGGGATGGATGGAGGCGCCTGGGAAGCAGCTTGGAGCTCCCGGGAGCCCCTCGGTAGCCCCGTGGAGTCGGGGTCTCGCAGGGCCCGGGTGGGCAGGATACGGAGCGCGTGGGCTGGGAGGTGACACTGGCGCTCAGTGCATGGCAGGGAGGTGACAGTGTCAGTGCCCTGTTCAGTGTCCGGGCAGGGAGGTGACACTGTCAGTCCCTGCTCAGTGCATGGGCAGAGAGGTGACACTGGTGCTCAGTACCTGGCAGGGAGGTGACACTGTCAGTCCCCTGCTCAATGCACGGGCTGGGAGGTGACACTGGCGCTCAGTGCATGGCAGGGAGGTGACACTGGCGCTCAGTGCATGGGCTGGGAGGTGACACTGCTGCTCCCTGCTCAGTGCATGGGCTGGGAGGTGACACTCCCAGGCTGGCAGGTGACACTGGCGCTCGGTGCATGGCAGGGAGGTGACACTGTCAGTCCCCTGCTCACTGCATGGCAGAGAGGTGACACTGGTGCTCAGTGCATGGCAGGGAGGTGACACTGTCAGTCCCCTGTTCGGTGCACGGCAGGGAGGTGACACTGGCACTCAGCACACGGGCTGGGAGGTGACACTGGCGCTCAGTGCATGGGCAGGGAGGTGACACTGTCAGTCCCCTGTTCAGTGTCCGAGGTGACACTGCTGCTCCCTGCTCAATGCACGGGCTGGGRGGTGACACTGTCAGTCCCCTGCTCAGTGCACGGGCAGAGAGGTGACACTGGCGCTCAGTGCATGGCAGGGAGGTGACACTGTCAGTCCCCTGCTCAATGCACGGGCTGGGAGGTGACACTCCCAGGCTGGCAGGTGACACTGGCGCTCAGTGCATGGCAGGGAGGTGACACTGTCAGTCCCCTGCTCACTGCATGGCAGAGAGGTGACACTGGTGCTCAGCACACAGGCTGGGAGGTGACACTGCTGCTCCCTGCTCAGTGCATGGGCTGGGAGGTGACACTGTCAGTCCCCTGTGCACAGGCAGGGAGGTGACACTGGTGCTTCCCTGCTCAGCACATGGCCTGGGAGGTGACACTCCCAGGCTGGCAGGTGACACTGGCGCTCAGTGCATGGCAGGGAGGTGACACTGTCAGTCCCCTGCTCACTGCACAGTGGCTGCTTCCCGTTCTCTGCAGCCTCTCCCAGGGGCTCCCTCCTCTCCCCTAGGGAGCTGAGCCCCCGTGCCCGGAGGATGCTCCTTCCTTCCCTTCCCTTTCCCTTTCCTTTCCTTCYCCTTCCTTCCCTTCYCCTTCCTTCCCTTCTCCTTCCCTTCCCTCCGCTCTGGGAGGAGGATATTAAGGAGCAGCTAATTGACCTGCGTGTCCTGCTGCTGCTAATTGCAGGAAGCTGCCGCTCGCGGCCGGGTGACGCACGAGCCCGGCTGGGTGGTGCAGCCGCCTGTTGCTTCACCCTGCGCCGCAACACCCGGCGGCTTCCCAGGGTGCCACAACACCCGGCGGCTTCCCGGGGTGCCGCAACACCCGTTGGCTTCCCGGGGTGCCACAACACCCGGCGGCTTCCCAGGGTGCCACAACACCCGGCGGCTTCCCAGGGTGCCACAACACCCGGCGGCTTCCCGGGGTGCCGCAACACCCGGCGGCTTCCCGGGGTGCTGCTTGCACCGAGGGTGACGAAGGCCGGGACTGGAGCCCTGCACCGGGAGAGGGCAGTGCCACCGCGCACAGCCCGGCTTGTCACCGCTGTGTCACCCGGCGGCCACCTCAGGCTGAGGGACGGAGCTTCGTTCCCTAATCCCGGCTGCTTCCCAAACCCTGGGGACAGGGAGCTGCCGGGACGGAGCTTCCTTCCCTAATCCTGTCTGCTTCCCAAACCCTGGGGACAGGGAGCTGCCGGGACGGAGCTTCCTTCCCTAATCCCGGCTGCTTCCCAAACCCTGGGGCTGGGGAAACTGCTGGGACGGAGCTTCCTTCCCTAATCCCGGCTGCTTCCCAAACCCTGGGGCTGGGGAAACTGTCAGGATGGAGCTTCCTTCCCTAATGCCGACTGCTTCCCAAACCCTGGGGACAGGGAGCTGCCGGGACGGAGCTTCCTTCCCTAATGCCGACTGCTTCCCAAACCCTGGGGACAAGGAGCTGCCGGGACAGAGCTTCCTTCCCTAATCCCGGCTGCTTCCCAAACCCTGGGGACAGGGAGCTGCTGGGACGGAGCTTCCTTCCCTAATCCTGGCTGCTTCCCAAACCCTGGGGCTGGGGAAACTGCCGGGACAGAGCTTCATTCCCTTATCCCGGCGACTTCCCAAACCCTGGGGACAGGGAGCTGCCAGGCCAGAGCTTCCTTCCCTAATCCCGGTTCCTTCCCAAATCCTGGGGACAGGGAGCTGCCAGGATGGAGCTTCCTTCCCTAATCCCGGCTGCTTCCCAAA